AAGATGCGGTACAGTGCACTTTCAGTCAAGGAGAAACTTCAAGGAGCTGCAGCGGAACATCCCTTGGGGAGCTTGGTTGGGAAGTTGGAGCTCTTTTGGATCCACGAGCCAGGTCGATTGGATTTGTTAGATCACTGTCCGGACTCAGGTGACCAGCGTGATGGAAACATCTATTGCTTTGCGAATGAAAATGTATCGATTTTTTACAGTTCATAATATGTATAATATGTATAATATATATATATAATGTACATATAGATTCGATATAGTCTATTCTAGATCATATAGATGGAAGTGGTGCTTTTCTTTTCATCCACTGTGGTGCTGAGGCGACTTGCCGCCCAAGCCAGCGGAGTCTGCTATGGGTCTGGTGTGCTTCCAATTCGTGCAAGGCCTGGAAAGGTTGCGGCATCTCCTGGTGTGAACTTTACCAAGGAAGGGACTTTGCGAATGGGAAAAAATTGACAGAAACACATGCTGCACAAACTTTCGCAAAACATGTTGGTGGGCTAAGGTGTAACCATAACCGCCTGAGAAGGATTGAAAAACATGGCTTGAAAGAAATGAGGTCCCATCCGTTGGGTCTGACCAAAAGGCGTTCAACGACATATAACCAAATTCAATCATCATTTTCTGTGTTCAAATGGCAGTTTTTGATAATTTTGATCATTTTTAGGTATGCTGCAGTCTTGAACAAAACCATACAGGTACATCCCAATCTTGTTGGTGATTTATCCCCCTTGTCCCATGAAATATCACTGTGAATAGTTTGTTTAGCAAACCATTATGCTATTGTAGAGAGAAAAATACCTCATTAAGACTCATTAAGGCCAATGATATTCCCATTATTGTTGTTTCATCAACACATTATCTCATGGTTGGTATCCGGTATTCCCTGATTGTATGAGGCCATGCCTCCCATTATGCACGTGTCCTCCACCTGTCTGTGACAAGACCCGAGGTGGCGGGAACTGAAACCGTTTGGTAACGGGATACAACATGATTACAACCCTAGGTACACCGTGTTTAGACGGGCGGGTATTTTTTACATTTTGACGTTCTCAGGTTTCATATCTACATTTTCTCCGCAAAAGGGGGAAAGTGACAAAATTGGCTATTCCGCCACAGCGAAACACGTTTTTTACAATCTTAGAGAGTCGAGTCAACTACTGTTCCTAATGCATGTTCTAAAGCTTTCATCATATACGTGTTGAAGTTGTTTAAGCAAAATTGTTTTTCAAGCATGTCAACGCTTCACACCAGCGACAGTTTCAAACGTGTCTTCTTTTTTTGTGCTGCCGGTCAGAGGAGTTCTTCCAGAGCTTCCAGAAAGCTGTGTGCATCACGGGAAGTAACGTGACAAAGTGAAGAGCGTGGCAGCAAAAACGTAGTATCATGAACGTTACTGCCCCACCCCAACCAACCCCAACCCAAACATCCAAAATGAGCACAAAACCGCACGATCGTTTAAAGACCCTGCACCAACTAGACTATGGGCATGTAGTAATACGCATCATATATCAATCATTTTATGGGATGTAGCGGGATACCACCACTAAGAATGGCGATACACTGTAATGAGTAATCGAATATATCGATGACAAGAAGACAATGGAATATAACCAACCATTTTAACGGGATAGCAAATCAGCTACACAGTCCGTAGCATTTACTGTATCCATCTGTATCCATTCTTGGGGTTCATTCGATATTGCAAACAACTGCAGTCTAGGCTACTAGGACGCGTTGAAAGCACCCAACACCAACAGTTGTCCAAGGGCTTCTCAAGGGCACCTGTCGTGACATGTCGTGACTGTCGTACAGGCGCTGCAATCAGCTGTCTCACAAGCGCGGCATTTGATCTTGGAGACCCTGCCGGTCAAGAGCCAGGGGTTCCAGCCATTGTTTTGGTGGATTGGGGATTATAGATGCACTCTGGGATGAGAAATGATGGGAATTGGGGCAGCATATAGTGGCAGCATAGATACAGCTCCTCAGCATTTTCTTGGTGTTTAGTAGATGTCGCGGGGGCGCGTTTTGGACAGGATGATGGAGCGTCAATGCATCGGAATTTAGGAAAAGTTAGAATTCCTTTTACAGATTGCTCGAAAACTCCACAATGGCTACTGTCACATCAAGCCCAAGGTCTCCGAGTCACCGTGCTGGCGGCGGAAGATGATGGGCAGCACATTTGCATTGACCCACATGTGGAGCGGGCGTATCACCAATGCGGCTTTCGCTGGCCAGGGGCATACCAGGATTTTGCCTCTTGAACCCATGAGTATCCTTCACTTTGCACAACTGACGTTTTCTCACTTCTAGATCGTCTACTTCAAAGAGCCTGGTGGAAGAAGATAGAAACAACAGACCCAGCCAATGCTTTCATCGTGTTGAGGTTTCAATTGACCCAAAAGCTTCGTCGGAAGAAGTCGTCCTTGCTACGTCAGAGCCTTGCTTGACGTAAGTGTCAGCAGGATGGATTGGGCAGCAAGGGTGCCAGTCTGAGAGATTAGGCGACTCAGAATTTGATATGTCAGTTGGGTCCAACTCAGCGAATGATTTCCTCTGAGCCGAGCCCTGTAACTCAGTAACTCCATCTCCCTGCAGGCCACCGGAAGAAGAGAGCCGTGCGCTTTCTGGTGCTTCATTCGCCAGGGCTCTCAGGAAAAGCTGACTCTTGGGGTGTAGTGCCTGGCTCTGGCTGAAAATGGACAAAGCATCAAACAAAAACTGCTCCTGGTACGGAAGCAGACCTGGAATTTTTGCCCCCCCCAAGATTTGCAAACCAGCCTGGATGGTGATTTGAACGTAGTGAATTTGTGGGTAGCTAATCCCGTCACCATTTGGATTGCCAGTCATGGTCGGAGAGTGGCAGATTACCATTGAGGCAACGTGGCGACGCGGACCCACCCGCACCACGGAATGAGATAGGCTGCCAGGGCAGAAAACGTCGGACTGAGGGAGAAAGCCTCTTTAAGAATTTTCAGACAGATGCAGTGCGGACAACCCCAGGACTGAGGTCGTTTTCTTGGTCGCCTGGAAAAGATGACATCTTTTTTCAGATGAGATCTTGAGAAACCAGAATGCATCAAATGCATCTCGACTTTTGGACTCTTTGCAGTGCTTTGCAGGCACCAAAGCACAATTGCTTCTGCAAAGCCCTGACCTTACGGTGACCTTAACGACCTCCGACGACCTCTGACGACCTCCGATTCATCCACTCGGGAGTGCTCCAGCATCTCCAGCAGCTCCAGCTGACGCTGCAGGTCAGACCTCTGAAGAAGGCAGAGAGAGCCCAAGTGCCATCCGAGTCCGGGCACCCAGAACGTCAAAGGCAGGTGACCGATTGGTGTTTGGAGAAGCTGTACACCAATTACAGAAAGTTCATGTTTCTAAATTCATCCAGCCTATGAAAATAGATATAGAATGAATTAGAATGATATAGATACTAGAAACCACACAAATCACAAGCAATCATCTGGACAATGAAATGCAATAGATATTCTCTCAAGTTGGTACATGAGAATTAGTGAGAATAGATTGTAGATACAAAATGATACAAATACAATACAATCTAATCTAATCCAATATAAGAAGTCCCAATTTTCAGCGATCCCCATTTTCAGGAAGCGGAACCAGTGGAAGCGGAGGAGCTTACCTTCAGCGCCTGGTGATGCTCAGAAATGCTAAGAATGTCTGGGAGACCACACAAACATCTTCTGAACCAGCACCAGTTTCATCAAGTTTTCATGTCAGTTTTTTGTTTAGGAAGGTAAACAATGGAAACATTGTACAGTTGTTTGGGACCCATTTTTGATGTGTTGTACCGAAATGGACCGGACAATGACAACGAATGAATCTTGGAGATGGGATGTGAATTGCATTGGTCAAAGACCAGATGCCTGTACACAGCTGGGCGATCAATCCGCCCCAATTGCAGCGCTTGTTTGTTTAGCAAGCGATGCGACGCCAAATGAGTTCAATGAGTTCCCCAGGGAAAAGAATTCATTGCGGAGTGCCCCAGGAAGTATAAGAATCAGAATGCAACGGATTTCAAAAATAATATACATAAATGTATAAAATACACAAACAATGTTGACGGAGAGTCAGTTTCAGAAACTTTTTTTTGGATTTGTACATCCATGTTATGAATTGGTAGACGTGTGACATGGGGTCTATCGTAAGTTCTTCGGATGTCAATCTGTTATGCATTCACCGATATATTGCCACTGGATGCACAGAATTGTTGGGGAACCCTGTGCAGAGGTTGCTGTCTCAGTCCATCAAAGGGATGATATATAACTCCTTCAAAACGCAGAATCTATACAGATAATTCTAGACCTGGTTTTTCCGTATTTGAGCATGACCGCCCGCTGTTGGACCGGTACAAAGTATCATGGCGAAAATAAGACGTGGCATAATCAGAAGCAGCAATATTGCAAGGGATACTGTCGGGGGAGTTCTGAATCAATTCAATAATTTATTGACTTAGTCAGACAAGCAAAAGCAATTCCAATGGTTGGTAATTATTCAAGCGAAGCATTGAGAACTGTGGCAGACGAGATATTTCATCATACATAGAATTATATATTATATATTATATATAATTATTGTTTTCAGAGAATACAAGTTGGCGCAACGGCTGCGAATGATCCGCCAAACATTCACATTTCACAATTGGAAAGGCTGCAAAAGGCATGGTTGCAAAGAACACCTTTTACGTGCAAACCTGAAGCCATGAAACATTGGAGTGAGACCGCGTGAGATCCTGCAAATCGGAACGCAAACGTGCACACTAAATCCTTGGATTTGTTTTCCAGGCATTCAGACTCGTTGTATGAAACACATGGTGGACATTAGCAATGAATGTGATTGGGCGTTCACTCACCAACACGTTGAAGCAAACAAAGCAACGATTCTTAAGGTCGAAAGCAAGGCCGGGGCCTTGCATCAAAGGCTAAGTGCAGTCGGTACTCCAGAACCGCGTTTTGATCGTTTTGTTGCACCGTCAACGCGTCGCCCTGTCGGCCAAATTGCTGAGCGGCCTTTCGCAACACGAAGCGCATGCCCAAATTCTGCTAGATCAACACATTGTCCAGTCAGAGAGACACGCCAACATCACCATCCAAACCATCCAACGTTGCTTCGGACGCGCCAAAGCGCAATGTACGGCTGTTGCATCAAACCTGGGGAGAGGTTCGTGCCAATGTGGGACCTCTGGTAATCGATGTCTCCAGGGTGTGGAGGCCAAACAACACGGAAACCGCACCAGAACAGGTGAGCTGCACTCTCAAGGCAATAAAACCTGTGCCTTTTGCATACCTTGCTGCTTGCGTCCGGCGGCTGCCATACGAGTTCTTTTTCCAGTGGCGTGGGGGGGGATATAGCTTGGGGGTTGGATTGCCAATGGCAGAATCCTTTGGGTCACGGCCTCGCGTGCGCACGCGCATTGGCATGCTGGTCCTCCCCACGCACATGCCGCACGGGTTTGGCCACGCACACTTGATGTTTATTTTTGTGCACCCCTCAAGGAAAATGATGAACCGGCGTCTACCTGACGTCACTTTCCGGGAGGTCAAGTTGGGTCTCGTATGTGCACGCTTTTGGCTTTCATGTCTTAGTGGTGGAATATCAGCCCTTCAATTTGGCCCATGCATTCTTCACTCTTGGCTTCTGGGAATGCAGGGTGGGTATGGTGCAGGTTCGGGCTGGTTCCGGAAGGTTTCATCTTGCATTAAGTGCCGCAACGGACAGACAGACAGACAGACAGACAGACAGACAGGCAGGCAGGCAGACAGGCAGGCAGGCAGGCAGGCAGGCAGGCAGCAGGCAGACAGGCAGAGAGGCAGACAGACATACATGCACATGCACATGCACATGCACACGCGCACGCACACCAACATGACATACATACATACCTACCTACCTACCTACCTACCCACCCACATACATAGCTACATAGCTACATAGCTAATCATAGCTACATAGCTACATAGCATAACATAGCATAACATAGCACAACATAGCACAACATAGCATAACATAGCATAACATAGCATAACATAGCATAACATAGCATAACATAGCATAACATAGCATAACATACATACAGACATACCGACAAACTGACATACAGACACACACACACACCCATACATACATACATAAGCATACATACATGCATGCATGCATGCAGACAGACAGGCATGCATGCATGCAGACAGACAGACAGACAGCCATGCATGCATGCATGCATGCATGCATGCATGTCACGTACGCATACACGTACATATACACGTACACGTACACGTACGCATACACATACACGTACACGTCACGCACACGTACACGCACACGCACACGTACACGTACACGCACACGTACACGTGCACATAACCTACAGGCACACACACACACACACACATATATATATATATATGTATATGTATATATATATATATCTACATTTATATCCATACCTGCATGCATGCATGCATACATGCGTATACAATGTTATATATATATATTATATTCTTGTTTGGTGTCGAATTTGTGTTACATGAAAACATGTTCATTAAACACGAAACTGTCGCAACCGTTCTCCGAAATCACCAGCGCTAGCTTCTGCTAGCTGAAGTCTCCCTTGCTTTAGCAAGTATATGGGGGTTTGGAATCCCCAGTCGTTGGAAACTTCTCAATTAAGTACCTCTCCCTTGGTTGGCTTACAGACTGTTTTGCTGTGGGCTAACCTCCGCCGGGGACACCGTTGGCAACAGTGGGAGCATCGGCATCCTTTGCATGATTTGCATCCTCAAAAGCCAATGCCTTATTTTTCTTCAATTCATTGATGCAGCGGTGCTCGTGATTGGCATGTTCATTCATAGGTAGCCTTCATCCTGGCCTAGTTTCATTTTAATGTTGTGCACGCACATTTACCTCTCATCCTCAACTTAGGTCTTGCACTGCCTTACTTCTTCCCCCGCCCAAAGGCCTACTCCGATGCCGTAGGTGGACCTTTGAATTTTGCCTAATCAGTGGTTGGCAATGCTGAATTTCTTCATCCTCTTCGTGCAACAGTGCATAGTAATCATATGGTCTCATTCTCGTCCCTCCAACACACACAGCTCCAATACGTAGGTCTGAATGTTCACCTTGCCAACATGCCCCAGCTTCAGACCCGTTCGTCCACGTGAGCAAAAAACAAAACATTGGTTGGTGGGCTGTCGGAACGGCCACCAAACCACGTAGGTATGGTCAGGGCGAGGCGAAGTCAACCACGAAATTCGGCCAGGGGCAGGAATTGGTCCGATTCGCATCTTGCCGGTGACATATCGATAGCCCAGGGCGAAAGCAAGGGCGACATTAACAAACCCATTTATGTGCGGACAAGGTTCGTGCCCGAAAACATTTTCGTGTAATCATGCCATGAGACGTGTTTTTTTTCAAGAACTGGTCGGTGTATACCAAATTTGGGTCGTGGAATTGGAGTATTGTCACCCTTTGCTGACGAAGACAACGCGGAGATAGAAACAATCCTGAAGTTGCGTTTTTGCTAGCATGTCGGCGTTTTTTCTCTCAATGCGGTTGGTGCAGGCTTCGGATTAGAGCAGTTAACTTGAACTCAATTAAGGTCATGCATTTGATTTCTGTAAAAACGCGATCGCTGTCACAATGAATGGTCACATACAATTATCCACCATCATTTGTCGTGAACAGATCACCGATGACATTGATAGCTTTAACGGCCAATGCACCGTATAATTTGAACGAGAAGTGGTTACAGAAAGGGCTATCAAACTCTGACGCGGAATAGTCGAGTCGTGGGCTACAGCGCTCGCCGCAGAAGTAAAGAAAATGTTGTTGGCAGAACATTTCCATGGCAGGGGATTTTCATTCATAACATATTTTCAACAAGCGCCACAACACTACCATGAAAAAATTAGCCTACTCAATAATTTTTTGTCCGCGCATTTGTTTCTCGTTTGCGTCAGGCCCGGTAGAGCTAATTTGGTCGAATCGATTTTTTGAATCGAACTGCAATTACTATATATATATATTTATGCCCGATTTATGACACATGCCCAACCCAGGTTTTGAAATTATCCAGTACGAATGGTGTTGGGGGAGAACGAGAACAAGCGAAAGCAGGCATCAGACAAGGACACCCTTTGTGGGTAGGAGGCCCCTTCGAAACACGAAAAACCGCCGCATTTTGAAACACGATAAGGGGATCAACTCCGAACACGAAAAGCAGCTCAATTTCGAACACGCATGCCAAGTGCTATCGGCGGATAGGATTGAAAACTTGATTTGATTCCACCCTACGCAGTGCAAAGGCGTTTTTGCTATGCGCTAACACTTCCATTGACGGCGAAACATATGGTGGATGCAAACGCTGGAGACGATGGAAAGGATGGAAGGATGGAAAACATGGAAATTGTACGAAACAATGGAAGCCGCAGGGGCCCAAAAATAAAAAACCGTGCAAAAATGAGTTTGTTTATGCGTTTCAAAAGGAGTAGGTTTCCGTGTTCTAAAATCAAGTGGTTTTTGCCTTTATGTATTTACTTGCGTGTCTTGCTTCCAGGACGTGAGATGAAAAGACGTGAAATGGTTGAGGCAACATGACCCGAGATGAGATGAGATGATATGAAATTAGCTTGGACGAGATGGAATGTGAGAAGCGACGTGAACTGTGAGATGACATGGGAAGAGGTCCTGAAATG